CGAGGGTTGTGTCCTCGGTGAAAGGCAGACATTCAGCAACTTCCTACGATTTGAAGGCTCGCACGACTCTCCATGGAACTTAGCGAGCGTATTTCATACACGTACAGCGCTGTCGCGATGACCTCACCATACGATTCTTTTCTTTTGGGCCGTTTCATTTGTTCGACATAGGTCATATGAGATGAGGGCAGCCAGATGCACGGATGAGACATAACATGAGGGACAATGTACATGGATCGGGTGTAACCTCTCCATTTATTCTGCATCGACGACAGTTGTTTGGAGACCCTACAATGCATGGTGTAAACGCAGCTGCTGGATAGGTGCGCGATACGAGACCGACCTTAAAGGAAGTAACGGGAACGTGCGTAGCATATGTGTAGAGTTTCTCCTTTGCATTTTCCTCGTCATTACGCTTACCTGTAAGAAGTGAAATGGGCGTGTATCAGACTCGTTCCTCGTGTAACGCACCAATGTGCTGAGACAAGACGGGGGATACTCACGCTCAAGTTTTACCCGTATCCGGTGAGGGACGGACTTAATTCCCTGTGCCCATAGTGCTTGGTTGAGCTTGGGGTCGAGCCGTACGTCTGAAGTGCCCATCGCTTTCTGAGCAAACTCGACGATGGACTTGACTGCCCAAGGAGCGCGCTTCTTGAAGGAGCGACCATGCACGCGTTTGTGCAGGTGAACCGTGTACTCGCGCGTAACGACATCTTGAAGGGCAGAGCGCTTGCCGGTCTGTAGGACGAACAGGAATGAGTAGTCGTGAGGGCTTGTTCGAGTATGATTACCTTTGTTTTTGCCTATGAGCAGAGTCAGTCGTTTCCATACGCCTGAGTCAGTCTAGCACGTACCATGTCTTGAGAGTGTCGGGATCGATGGACTGATGAGTTTTGGATGGCTGCTTTGGAGCGTTTGCCGGTCACTTTACTTTTGTTTGGATTGTGGCGGTGAAGGGAACAAGGTTTCCGTGGCGTGCGAAGCAGCGATACAGTTTCACGGCAAGTTCCGTGTTTGGCTGGTCGTTCATATTCCCATTTCAAATTATTCCCGCGGATGCAAAACGGGATGAGACTTGTTCTTTGTTCTTGATTTGGAAATTTCCAGCCCTTTTGTGTCCTGGCATTGTCTGTCCATTCGTGACTTCCCTTTGTTGTCCGTGAATTACTTGCAGTCGAAGTCGACGGAGAGACTTGTCAGTTTATCACTTGGGTACTTCACTGGCCCGTACTTTCTGATTGACTGGCAAATAGAGAACAATGCAGAGTTACTGGCTTCGAAGATCGGTTCTCACATACAAACAAGTTACCAAATCCAACCATGAAATGTCCAGCCATGGGCTGTGTCGGGACGTGTTTGCGACATGTTTGACGTCCCCCAAATCTCGAAGAACAACCACAGCTATATAAAATCCGACCAGCTCGCCAAGTTCGCTCGTTCCTTGAGCTCGCCTTGTTACCACTCCGCTCTCGATTAGTATGCGTGTCGCAGTCGTTCTCGTTGCCTTGTCTGCCGCTCTCTCCTCTGTGAGTGCTGGTTTCGTCTCCCGCCAAACTCTGCCAGGTACGTTGTATCTGTGGTCGACGACGACGACCTCCTGACCTATCTTGTAGCTTGTGCGCAGACGTGCATTACCAGTGCTAATCTGGGCGGTTGCTCTGCAACCGATGACAGTTGCTTGTGCCGCAATCAGAGCTTCGTCAACGCTGTTACCTCCTGCATCGAATCTTCTTGCACTGGCAGTGATCTACAACAGGCAGAGGAGTTTGCGCAATCTCTTTGTCTCGCCGTGGTACGTTACTGATTCATATCCTTGGTTGGCTATTGCTCACTAATCATACAGGGGGTGACACTGACCATCTCAACATCTACTGCAACGTCCGCATCGTCCGCGTCGTCCGCGCCGTCCACGTCGTCCACGTCGTCTTCGTGAGTACCCGCAGTTCTCGGGTGATATGTTGCATTGACTTTTACGGCCTCGCAGTCAATCGCCCCCGAACTTAGGTAGTGCTACGTCGTCTTATGGTATCAATGTGTTCGCAGCGGCTGCCGCCGTTCTCGGTGTTGGCCTTACTCTGTAGACTGTTAGAATCTGTCTGTTCATCATCCGCTGCTTTGAATCGCCGAATTTACACATGCGCCATTTCGTTTTCCTCGTGCTATATTTTTGGGGCATCGTCATTTGGTGTATTTATCTACTTTCGGGTAGTTCATTGTAACCGTGTAGCCATTTCGCCCTTAATGAATAACCCGACGATGATATTTCCATGCCATGGCAACGTCGTGAGGTGGAGTACTGTAGAGACAAAAGTGCTGATGACCGTTGCTATCGTAGGCATGCGTCTGCGTTTGGCTAGCTAAGAGCTGATGACAATGGGGAAGATGACTTTCCCAAGATGGTCTGGACTACCAAATGTGGTAATCGCATTTTGCTCTTCACTACTAGTGTTGGCCCGTGCGAGGACAGTGTTGGCGGACACCGTCGATGAAGGCCAAAAGGTTATGGCGACGAGTGCCAACGCCACTGGCACTCCTGTTGGGTCTTTTCCTGGGCCTGTTCATCGGGCGCATCCTGCCACCCTCGGTATGTCGATTTCACCCGCAATGTAGACATAACTCACCGATGACAGTTCTTCGGGTTTTCATGGGCACGTCCCAGCACACCCGTGTTTCTTTCGCGGCTCTCCGCGCGAAAACATTTCACTTTACCGGACGTCGACCAGCGAAAGCGCGTTCTTGATCTCCTCTCAACACTTTCGCCCTACCATACCGCTGAATGTACCCGTAACTCACAACCGCTCTACGTTCAGCAAGTCAGGGAGCGCTACAAACCCCTCGTAGCAAGCAGATCACCCTCGTCACCCTCATCTTGGATGCCTTCCCTGGGACTTGGCCTGTCTGACCCAGACGGGCTATACGTCTCTCCCGCTAGAGAACACAAATACTACTTTGCCATCAACCTGTACAATTCCTTCGACATCATCCCTGACCTCTTTGCTACACTCTTCCGGGTGTCAGCTATCCTGGGCTACCACAACGTCTTCGTGTCCATATACGAGAACGGGTCGAACGACCAAACCAAGGCGCTCCTTCGTATATTCGACTCAATCACAAAAAGTGTCGGACTCAGAGTGACCATACGGACGTCGACTCGCACAAGAGGAAATTTCAATCACCGCATCGAATACCTCGCCGAGGTCCGAAACCAGGCGTTCGACCCTCTTCACGAACTCAGAGACGCCAACAACGAGTTCTTCGATACTATCATCTTCATGAACGATATTCTGCCATGCGTAGATGACGTCCTCGAATTGATCTGGCAGAGCAGGAGGAACAATGCGGGCATCACATGTGCTGCAGATTATGTGTATCATAATGACCTCGTAAGTTGCACTCTTTGTTCTCAGTGTCCCCCAACGTGACGCCTTCGCATTAAGAATACACCTGTCTTTTACGATAATTGGGTATCACGTGACATCAACGGCACAGCACTCGAAAACGCGCCTTTCGAGAACATCTTTCACGATCCAGAGTCCTCTGAACGGTTCCAGCGTCACCTTCCCATCCAGGTCCAGTCCTGTTGGAATGGTGTCGCCATTCTTGACCCCGCCCCCTTTTACTCGCCCCCATACGTTCGCTTCCGCATGGCAGATATCATAGAAGGCGAATGTTCTGCATCGGAGTGCAGTCTGATCTGCAACGACTACTGGCAAGCAGGGTACGGCCGCATTGTGATGGTACCACGGGTGAAGCTTGCATACGATAGGGTCAGTCTCCATTCTAAACGTGTCACCACGAACTTCCCGCCTTGTGGCTCTTATTGCTGAGTTTGAGCCTCATCTTTTTTGCAGAAAGTCTTTGATTTGATACACCCTCCGAGGAGGAATCTCACTGCTATCCGGGGGTATGTTCGCATTGGTGGACTTCCGGACGACCCCCGCTATGACCCTCAAGACCGCTCCTGGTTCGGCCCTCATGATCGTGTGTTCGACTCTCAGGAGAGTGAAGAAATAGAGTTCCAACCGGGTCCTTCACACGGTACGTCATTTCCGATGCTCAGTTTCCACCCTCACTTAATCATTGGTGGACATGGGAATAGTGTGGTGTTGGGGCTGGGACGGTGCCGGTGATATTGACGGGCCTGACGTGGACCCTATATGGGAGGCCATGCCAAGCCGATCACAAACTGTGGAGGCAGTCACCGTGAAACATGACAGAGCATTTGATCTGTGATCTAGTATTGCGATCTTGATCTCTTCTCGTTTGCGTCTGGTGGATGGGACGGAGGTTTCCTGGGATACGTTGAACAGTTCTATCCTTGCTACTTGTCGTCAAACAGAACTAGACCTGGACTATGCATATGTAGCTGTCTTAGTGCTTAACATGTTGTATATACCTTCTTGGATAATTCGAGGTTGCTATCGCAGGTTAGTCCCGCTGAAAACTTGGGATCTGCAAAACACGCTCTTTCGGTGATAATCCTGGCTCTCGTGCGGGTATGCGGATCTTTGAGGTTCGTTGCAGGAGTGAGATGGGACCGAATGGCCGTGAACTCTTTTGAGTTCTACCGTCGTGATAGACAAATCAAAACCGACCGTTGCAAAGAACTCTGACATGGAGACCGTTGGAGTCTGTGCGGAATTTGTGCATCGCGAAGACCAGGTATTCCCTTGTTTAATTGAAAGTAAGTTACGGACGGATCTTGGCCAATCTTAACGCGTGCGTCTTAGAAAGGCACTTGCTTGCCTTCTGTACTAGTACTGTGTTCGCCGCCTACACGAATTGTCTCCAGTACCCTGTCAAAGGCGTCACTACAAACATTGGTAGCAAAGGATATACTTCAGTGTAAATCTTTCCCCTGGGAAGCAGGCGTCCAGAACGTGATCAATCCTGCGTGCAATGCGAAGGATCTGGTAGACAAACAAGACAGATGTTAGTGGCCAGAAGAAGCAGTGATTTGCTCCAGCACTGTCGGTTTGGCTGGTGAGAACGGCGATGGGCCCTTGGCACAGTTGGTAGCGCGCATGCTTCGCACCGTAGATTGCATGAGGTCGTGGGTTCGACTCCCACAGAGTCCATATTTTTTGCATCATCGTCATCACCGTCCTCCCCAGAAGAAATCCATTTTTTTTGGACTTCTGGCCTACCTTGGCTCCCCTGTTTCCTTTTTGCCTTTCGTTCGGCTGGCTCATGCAACGACGCTCAGGCCTCGGCAAAGGTCTAGCACGTATATCTCCTCCATCCCAGGACCACCTTTCTGGCATGGGTGCCATCGACCCGTCGTTGCGGCCTCGGTGGCAGCTCCGCGCTTTTGGCGTCCCCAATCGCATATGGGTCATCCTGCTCGTCGTCGCATTCCTTGCATCTCTTACTCGCTTCCTCCCCACTTACCACCAACAAAATACCCAGGTCTCCACCGTCGGTCTATTGCCAAAAAACTACTTACGCGAGTCGTCTATCTTTTCTGTCAATGCTTCAGAGTCAGATGCGGCCGGCTACCCATTCGACTTTTGTCCTGTTCTCGGTCCAAATGATGACTTGGCACAGAGGTATGGCGCTTTGGCTCTTACTCAAAGCCGGTTGCACGTAGGAAGTGGAGGAAGATTACATCGCATGCTACACAAGGCCCTCCTTGGCCGACCCGTAACGATAAGCGTCTTAGGCGGATCAGGTGGGTCGCACCCTCTAGATAGCCCTTTGTACGTCGCTGGTTAAACGTCTCGGACTGACTCTCTCGTGCAACCAGTCTCTGCATGTCATGGCGCTGGTGACGACCCGTTGTCTTCCCAGTGCTATCCTTCGATGTTCTTCCAGTGGTGGCTAAGCGTATTCCCTCACCCCGCGTCCGAACTTACCAACGGAGCCATGCGTCGGACAGACTCTGGCTACTTCGGCTTCTGCAGTGCTCATCACGTCCCAGAGCATACTGACCTCGTGATATTAGAGTTCGACGTGGACGACCGGAGGTATGCTCCGCTCTCCGGGTGTTTAACGTCACGCTTACCGGGACATCCATCAGTGACCAGTATACCATGGAGAACTTTGAATTACTTGTTCGTTCTTTGTTGGACCGTCCAGATCAGCCGGCCGTTCTCGTCCTAGGCCACTTTAGCCCCCAGGTTCACGATCAATACGGCTTTGTTGGACCAGATCATTGGCACAACATCGTGGCACAGTTCTACGACGTGCCCCATATAAGGTACATTTACCAGTGATCGCTACCCTCGTCGATAACTCACACCACATCAGCGTGAAGCCTATCCTCTATCCCTCTTACATGGACGATCCAGATTATGTCAAACCGTATTACGCCGACGCAATCCTAGCTAACCCTCAGGGACATCGAGTCCTCGCAGATGTCCTCGTTTCGTTCTTCCAATCCCAGATCTGTAACGTGTGGTCAGCAGTGGCCGGCCGATCCTTCGACTCCATTCCGATCTTAGTCTCATCCGATTCCGGTGGCTTGGGTGCAGAGCCTCACCTTTTCGGTGGCGCTGGGGCACGAAAGGGCACCGCACCTCCTGAGATTGGTGACGAGACTGACGAAGCCAAGAAGCCCCTACGTGCACCCCCGTCCGTTCCTGTATATCCTGAGTTAGGCATCCCCCCTGTACGGATTAACACACGACCGCGATCACCTGCTCAGTTCGAGGAGCCTGCTCCGTTCTGTGTGTCGGCGAACGACCTTGTGAACCCCGTTCCACCTTCGTTGTTCTATGGTTCGGGTTGGGAAGTTGCACACCCTCTACCTGGCGTGTCGCCGTTGTTGACGGCGGCATATTACTGGTACAGTACGACGCCCCTGAGCAGGTTACGGGTACCTATCCGAGTCGGGGCAGGTGATGTGGGCATATACTACCTAAAGGAACCAATCAAGGACATCGGAGAGGGAAGTCAGTTGGAGTGTTGGGTGGATGATAACTTTGGAGGGGCTGTCACCATCGAAAACTCGGGCGACGTTTCAAGTCCGATCCCAGCGTACGTCGTATCCCTCGTTTCTCAAATTCCTTGCTGATATTTCACTCCGACAGACTCGAAATGATCGACCACATGGTTACCCGTGGGTCTCACTATGTCGAGTGTCTGCTTATAGGAGACCAGGGCCAGCCTGTTCCTTCGTTCAAGGTCCTAGGTGTTTTCTCGACTTGACCGCTCGTGCCCACCTTCACTTTGGCACATGAGAGCGGTACTGATTCCAGCTTTTTCTTGCCTTCGGAGAACCACGACGGTTCGGATAGACATTTACATAGCACTAGAATGTAGTTTTCCACGGACAATACCTTATGAAAAGCACTACATACCACAGCCAAGCCCTGCCACGAGCACAGATGCACACTTACCGTGGGAATATTTCTTGTGTTCCGTCGCTGACGCAGCTGCGGAGCGTTGCGAAGCGGTGGAGAGCGACGAGTCAATAAAGAGCGACTTTGCATCTGTACCAATACCCTCGACGAACGACCCACACGACGAATCTGACGAACCATGGCAGGCAGAAGAGGTCCTCCAACGGGTACGTAGAGCTGGATACCTCTGGGTGACCCTATCTCCAACCCTCCCCGTCTTGCACAGCCGCTCCACCAGCATATTCGTATGTGACAAGGATTTATAAACGGAGTCTGCGACCAGTCGTCCTGGCGAGTAAGTGCTCATCTCGTCCTCGTTATGAGTTTCATGACCTCACACGGGTCCAGTGACCGTCGTTGGCGCCCTCTGGTCTCTAGCATTGTAAGTATACCCACACCATTAGACCATGGATCAATGCTCATTTTTTCGCCCCTGTAGCGCTGTAAGTCACCCATCGATGAACATGATCATTGTCTCATCCCCGATACCGCTTCAAGATTGCAGGCTACAAGGAACTTGCTACTGACGAAAATGGTGTGCCTCAATCGCTGAAAATTCTATACTAACGGCCCTGACACGCGATCAGATAACTTCCACAACCTCGCCCCGTTGGCAGCGGTGCAGGGAGCCTTGTATACTCTTGCCTTACTGTTTCAGGGGTTCGGAATAGCGGCAGCTACCACGGTATGCTCAGCCATCGTGGATAAGGCTAGCCGTTTTCTGACGCCAAGTGTCAATTAGCAACGCACGAGATTCATCAGGATATTCACATACTTGTCCGCACTGACGACCTTATTCGCAGTGGGAGTGTCGTTCATGCGTGTTGTCACTCATTTCACTTTCAAGGTACGTGGATTTCGGAGATCCTCGTAAGCTTTGGCGTACTCACGATATATCAGGGCGATTTGATCGCGGAGTGCGAGGATCTCGCCGAGAATGGGAGTGTGGACTCGGTAGGTCGCAAGTTGGTGTGTGCTTTACTCGCAGATCGGTTCATGTAGCCGTTTCTTTTTGGGGGGGCAGATGTTCGGGTTTTGGACAAGTGACCCGGGATCCAACCTCAATGCTACCGAAGCGACGTCATGTAAGTAGTATTCTTCAGAATATCATGGGTGAGTGACTGACTTTGCGTTTACTAGATTGCAATGACATGTGGTCCCGCGATTCTTGGGCTGAAATTTTCTTGCTGATTCTGCTGATCGGTCCGTCGTAATTTCACCAGTTGGCGAGATCCGAGTCTGGATATTTTACTAACCCATTTCCTGCAGTTGTCGGCCTGTTATTTACATCGACTGCATTCGCATACTATCGCCAGGTGATCGACCCCACGAGTCCTGTCAACTCCTCCCGTACACCAGCAAACCAAGTGAGGATGGACGAGTTTCCCGCTTACAACACGCCGTATGACGCTCCTCCGTATGCACCACCGGCTGGTCCGCCACCGTTCGACGGCGAAGGCAAGCCGCCGCAGTACAATTACGGTGGATACTCGACCTTCGGAGATGACAAGGGAAAGGAGGAGGATGCCAAGAATGATCCGTTTTCCGATTATGTGACCCCGCCCATGCCCACTCATTGGGCAGAAGAACGGGATGTTACTTCCAGAACGTGAATTGGTGCTTCGAAATGCATGGGATGACAACTTTTTTTCTCTTTTTTTACCTCCTCTCGTACATTACATGAAGGATATGAACGGACTCTCCTCTCGACTATTGAAGACTACACCTAAATAAATGTTTAGTTACTCTTACTGCAATTCGTGCGGTTGACACAGTTGTCCCATTTGGAAGTTGTACTCCTCATGCCTCGTACCAGAGCAAAAACCAAGAAAGTTGCTCTGAGCAGTACTGCAAGTGAATCTCGACGAGGCTTCTTCCCATTTCTCCAATATGCCTCCGTCGTCGGCGTGCATGTCATTCTCGTTGGTTTCACGGCTCTCTACCTTCCTCAGTCCACTCTTCTGTTCGGACCCCTCCCCGTACGAAAGACAGACAGGCCTCAGTCTGAATTCATGGAAGTGCTCACGGCACGTCCCGCGGTAACGGCTGCGTGGACCCTTGCTGGGTTATGCGTTCTGCAGGTGTGGTGGGGTACTTGGGTAAGGAAATGGCATTTTGAACAGCAGGCGAACGGGACGTCAGACGAGATCAAGATCAGCAGAGCAAAAGTCAACGGGGTCTGGTTTGCGGTATGTCGTGCAGGTTTACTGGCGTGCGTGAGCTCTCACACGTACTCCCCCGATCGCAGAGACTTCGTGAAGCCGTCGGGTTCACCCTATTCGCGACGGCGGTTACACACGTCGTCATCATTCTCTTCGGAGCACCTCTGTTAAGGCGTGTACTGTGTCCTGCTCTCTCTAGTATGCACGCTCCTGAGCACCTCTATAGCCACCATCTCCAAACTGGTCTCCTAGCTTCTGTAGTCGCAATCTTGACAGCGTTCGTCCCCGCTTTCGTATTTGGGTACCCCTCCCTCGCGTCAGACGCGACCGCATTGCTTAACAGGTTGAACTGGATCAGACTGTTTGCTGAACTTTCGTGGGTACACGACGCTATTGCCTCTCCGCTTAGGTTTTGCTGATGGGATGCAGGCCCAGAAACCCGGTCGAACGGGTTGTGGTCTACCCAGCTGTCGGAGCCGTCGTTGGCGCATGGGTCGGTGCCTTTCCTATCCCGCTCGACTGGGACCGTCCCTGGCAAGTAAGTACTTGAATATTCACCATCGTAACAACAGC